TTTACCCCCCCCCCCCCCCCCCCCCCCCCCCCCTATCGCTCACCCCGTCCCCGCCTTGCCTCCTCCAACCGGAAACCCGAACAACACACTAAAAAAAAAAAGTGCAAGACTGGCACACGAGGAAGCGACGCTGCTGTGCCAGTGGGCTCTGCACGTGCGGGAGGAGTGCCTGGGCCCGAAGGATCTGGACACGGCGGACACCCTGAGGAAACTCGGCGGGCTGCTGCACCGGCAGGGCTTGCTGGAGGAGGCGCGCGTGAACTACTTGTGCGTCTTTACTCTTTTCTTTTTTGTTTTTCTCGTAACTCGTAACAGGTGGAGCTGTTGCTGTTGTTGGTATTGCTACTGCTGTGTGTGTCGTCTGAATTTGTCCCACGTATCGTGATGTTATTTTGTCGGTTTTGTGTGGGTTGTTGGGTGTGGGCGCATTGTTGTGCGTGTGGCACCTTGCTGTTCGTGCACCAGCACGTGGCGGTTGGTGACAACGCGGTCGGCCCCTCATCAGCCCGACGCCCATCGGAACCCTACCCGCACCAAACCATGCTCTTCGCTCCCTGTGTGTCCGACGTCGAAAAGCGCTTGTTATTTTTTGTTTTTTTCGTGTCTTCGCCTTTCCCGGGCAAGCATGTGGCGTCGACTGCTTTGTAGCGAGAGGTGTTGGGACGAGGACTACTGCAAGCGGATAAGGCCACCCTGCCATGTATGCATAGCTTCTACCTCTGGTTACTCGTGTTGCGGTGGCGATGGTTTCGTTCCTCACATCTTCCCACGTCCCCTGTGTTTTCCAGGCGAGCGCGCGATGTGTTCGTTGAAGTGCTGGGGCCGGACCACGAAGACGTGGGGTCGGCGCTCAACCTTCTGGCGGTGGTCGTGGGAGAGCAAGGCGACTACCTCACGGTAAGATTTTTTCAGTCTCCTCTCGTTTGACACTGGATTGATTTCACACGTGCAAATGTTAACACTATTCTAATGGCATGTAGTCGCTTGCATCGCACATGAAAAGGGAGTTTTTCACGTGTGCGCATGTTAAAACACTACTGCCTGTATACCACCTACCGTAGTAGTCGCTTGGACCGCACATGAAGAGCAAGTTTGGGCCTCTCTTGAGCATGCTGCTTCATCGAAGCTTTTTTTGTTCCCCAGTAATTACAGTCTTCCCGTTACTCGCTCGGACACCTCCTCTTCTTCGAATGACAGCCAGAGACTACCGGACCCCGCGAGTTTGCGTGACCCCCCCCCTCCCCACGCCCACCCGCCCTGCTCCGCCTCATTTTCGAACGCTTTTGTTTGGTTTGTCAGGCTGAGAATTACCACCGACTTGCCTTGGAGCAGCGGAGGAAGGCGGGGGCCTGCGGCCCCGACGACTTCGCCCCTTTCTGCTACAACCTCGCTCTGGTGGTCGGGACCAATGCCCGAAAAGGGCCGCCGGAGAAGCTGGACCAGGGTCACAGAGAGGTAGGCAACGGTAGTAGGCAACGATAGGCCAAAGTCGAGCATGACCAAGCGTGGGTCGCGCGCCCCCCTCCCCTTGTGTGTCTTGCATTATTGCCCCCCTTGTGTTGCTGGCGTTGCTGGCGGTTGGTGGTGGTGATGTGGTTTTTGTGTTGCTGGCGGTTGGTGTTGGTGTTGGGGCTTTAGTGTTGTTGTTGTTGGTGACGGTGGCGGTGGCGGTGTCTCGACCCAGGATTTTTTGTTTTCACCTGGCTTCGTTGCTTCCGCCGGCCGAGGCAACGCCTGGGGACTTGAAAGTGTCAACGTTTCCATTTGTGCGGGTTTTTGTTGCTGGTGGTGCTTTCTGTGGTGTCTCATGCGCCCTCTGCGCACGCCAACGGTCTCTCAACAGCAGTCCTTTGCTGTCGGGCGTTAAGCGGTGAATTCATGTGGGGGGGCCTAGCGGGAGGGACAGGATGTGATTCGGGTTCGGGTGTGCGCGTGTGTTGCCGAGTCACGGCTCCCGCTGATGGGAGGCTTTGGAGGCGGAATAAGCCAGCCCGGGCCCGTAGTGCCGCACGGGTCGTGCTCTATGTACGATTTGCCGATCGCTCAGCATGCAGGTACCAACAAAATGCGACAGCTGGAGTTTGTTGGGGTATACAACGGTTTACGCTGGTAAGAAGGAGCGACCCCTCTACTATGTTTTAAGACTTTAGTCGTAAGGAGCGTGGTTGGCACCGCCCCCGGTGGTTCTGCTGCTGTTTGCTATATTGCGGCGACATCTTTCAACCTATGATTGTGACTTTCATCGTGTCCTCGCTTTGTTGTCTTTCCCCTCTCGCGTGCGGCTTGCTTGTTTTGGGCGATGATGGGGGGGGGGATTCTTCGTTCAGGCGAAAGCGCTTATGACGGAAGCGCTGATGGTGTACCAGAGAAGTCTTCCGCCAGACCACCCGGAAACCGCCGACTGCATGGACAAGGTGATTGGCCCGAAGGATACGGCACTTGGCTGATAATGCAGTCGAGCTTGTCCCCTCGCGTTACGCTTTTAGACATGTGATCGGTGGTCAAGATGAGACACTTATTTATTCTTAGCGGCATGTTTTTCGTTCCTCTTGTCATCGGTGTTGGACTTGTTGGCTATTTTGCCGGGTTGATCGGTGGACGTACACGTTTTGATTTGAAACGGCTTGAGTGAATCCGTTTTTATGTTTTCTTTTCGCCGATGTCTCATCTACCTAAGCGCTGGGAAGACACGAGGTTCGCAGACACCCCAGACTCAGCAGTTTGTGCACCTGAGTGGGCACTATTAACTCTCACCCGGGAGCATTGGTATGCATAGGTGTACCGTACTTCATGCGTGTCCCATCCATGGCGCGGTGCCTGCTCTCTCTCTCCTTGTTATCCTACTGCTATTTCCCGATCCCCTTCCCCCCACACCCGCCCCTCCACCCTACACCCAATCGTCTTCGTCCGCTCGGGCGATGCCACCGCCGACGCATTTGCCGACGCCGTTTTTTATTTTATTTTCATTCTTGATAATGTATGTATATACATATATATTTGTTCTGAAGCTCGCGGCGGCGGTGGCGATGACGGGGGACCTCACGGGTGCCGAGATCCTCCACCGGGAGGCGCTGTCGAGCATGGAGAGGACCCTGTCGCAGGACGACCCCCGCATCGCCGAGGTTCTCTTCAACCTCTCGGCCGTCGTGGGAGCGCAGAGGGGCAGGCTCGGAGAGACGGAGAACATCCTTCGCCGCTGCCTGGAGGCGCAGGAGCGGCTGCATGGGCCAGGTATGCGTCGGCGGCGGCAGGGGGGTGGGGTACTTATACTGTAGCAGTGCATGCCCAAGTTGTTAACCAGGGAGAGGTGGGAGGTTTATCGGTCGCGTGTTGTTGGTGGAGAGGGTGTAAGTTCCGTCCGTCCGTCCGATCAAGACCAAGACATGGGAAATATGCTCGTGTTTGCACTCACTGTGTTTTTGTCAAAGAATCAGCAACACGCAGCCGGACCACGAGGTGGACTGTGTCGTCGTTCGGCAGGGGCTGCTCCGCTGGTATCGGGAGGTGGCACAATGGGCTTTTCGCCGCATCTACAGCTTTTCGTAAAAAAAGAAAATATGACTGTCTGCGTCCCGATCGTAAAAAAGAAATGCAGGCGGTATGTACATGTTTTTTCCCCCGATGTTCGATTAACACCGCCCCCCCCCTTCACACTGTTGAACGCAGTAGGAAATGTGTTTTGTAAGCTGCTGAACGATAGGATAGTGGGGGTGCTGGAGAAGGGACGTAGCATTAGTGAGGGCCAGGCAGGTTTCCGACAGAAGAGGGGGTGCGTAGACCACGCATTCACGGTAGGGAGAATCATCCAAGGTAGAAAGAGGGCGGGAAAGCCGACGTACTGCTTCTTCCTGGACGTGAAAATGATCTAACCGCTAAGGCATGCAAAACATAAGAGTACGCCCCCCCCCCCTCCACCC